AACCAGAGCAAAAACTGACACAATAAGCTCTTTTACATTTGATAGGGGCTAGTTACTTATTTACTTCTGAACATGAGACATACTAGCTTAAGGAAAGAATTTTAATCAGTGACTTTGTTTCTCATGGTGAACATGAAAAAAAAAAAGATCTTCTCTTGGGTACTCTACAATATATATTGATGATTTTAGTATGAATATTTCTTTAAAAGTTTTCAAGTATTTATTTACTTATTAAGGTGTGTGTGTGTGTGTGTGTGTGTGTGTGTGTGTGTGTGTGGATGTTTGTTGAATAGAAAGTCTTAATTTTAATATGGTCTAATACATAATTTATGTATACCATGGCACATGAGTGTAAGTCAGAGAACAAATTGTAGGAGTTAATTTTCTCATTCCACCATGTGGATGTGGGGATCAAACTCAGGTTGTCAGGCTTGGCACTAAGCACCTTTACCAGCTGAGCCATCTAGCACTTGCCAGAACAAATCTTTTTTTCTATTTCTATGTCTGTAGTTGTGTGTGAATGTAGCCACCCGAGGAGGACAGAAAAGGCATCAGTCTCCTGGAGGTGCTTCTGAATAGTGAGGTGGAACTGAGAATGAAACTCAGGAGGAGCAGCAAGTGCTCCTTATTGCTGAACCATCTCTCTATCCCCTAGGACCAACTTTTCCTATAAGAAAATTCTTTTAAATATCTTGATGTGGGCCAAAGCATTATGCATGTCACAGTCTAGGATAGAAAAGACAACTAATGTAGGGCAAAACTACAGTGATCTGGATTGAGCTGAGCATAAAATACTATTAGAAGGTGAAACAGACTGTATGTATACCCATTAGGTCATAATCCAGCTTGTGAATATAACAGGGGAGATTTATTCTGACAAGAACCTAGAATATAGGAACTTTAGGTCAGAGTCACCTTGGTGGAAAAGCAAGCACAGGGAAACACTGGAAACTTCTTATAGAAGTTAGGGGAACTAAAGATGACAGATGTCTGATTTTCAGATTTCTTCTGAGTTAAGCTGACAGAGATAATATGTAATTAACACTGATGTGTAAGTAAGTATGCTATATATGAGATATGGCTGAAATCCAAACCTAAATTTTCTTCATTTTTAAATATGTACTTTCTATATTATGTGTATGTGTGTTTTTTGTGTATGCACATGTGTGCAGGTGTCTGCTGAGCACAGAGGCATTGAATCCTCCCGGGGCTTTAGTTGTGAGCTGCCTGCCATGGGTACTGGGAATTGAACTCTGGTCCTCTACAGGAGCAGTATGCATTCTGAACCACTGTGCTGGCTCTTCAGCCTCTCCCAGTTTTTGTTAAATGAGGGGTTTCCTACCAAAACAGTTCTTGGAAACATACTGTTTTACTTGTATTAGTTTATAAAAAAATGAGGTGTTTATAGTTTATATAAGCACATAGATTAAAGGACAAGGTAGCAGCCTTAAATATGTAAGTATGTGAAAAAACAAACAAAGGAAAACAATGAAGGCACAGAAATAAAATGATCCAACTCTAGGTAACTATTACTTCTTTATAAAATAGCAGAGCCTCATTACACAGCCCTGGCTGGCCTCAAACTAGCAGATTCATCTGTACCTGTCTCCCAAGTGGGATTAAAGGCATGTGCCACCACCCCTGCCTCTCAGTAACAACTGTTTTAAAAGCAAGTAAAAGCCCTCTTTGAAAAAGAGAATCAAACAACAGTACTGGTATAGCTGCTCAACATATAAATTAAGTAATAAAAAAGAGCATAAGAGACTTTTACATGTTCTGTAAAGGAAGTTGGAGATGCAATTACAATCTTACTCCAATTTTGTGATGCAAAGTAACAATTTGGAGGTTGGTAATTTTTAAAAAATGACTTTAAGGGCTACCAACAAGACTTAAACTTTGATATATAATAAAATGTTATGTAGTCATAAATTTTAATAACATGAGAAAATTCCTTATGCTGTATGGTGGAGGAAGGAGGCACAAAGCTATATTTACTCTGAGTTCTAAATATTATGGTAACATTATTGCTGCATGTTTGCTTCAGTGTTGGGGATGGAACCCAAGGCTGTGTACACTGAGCAAGCATCTTGCCACTGAGCTACATGCAGTCCACTGCTATTTCTTTTAAAACTGTAAAATTATATGCTTTCATATTGCCAAGTTTTAGTAGTCAGGATGGAGACTGCTGGTCTGGTGGAAATAAAACTGGCTAATGAACAATATTAGCTTCAGGGAAGCTAAAACAAAACAAACAAAAATACCAAAGAACAACCTTTCCCCAAATAGTTATCTGAAAAATTTTCTTTCAATCCTCTAATAAGACATCTATAAACTATGCCAAAACATAATGATAAAGACAATAACAGCTGCCAGGTTGTGGTAGACTTAGGAGGCAGAAGCCTGAGCATCTCTGAGTTCAAGGCCAGCCTGGTGTACAGAGAGAGTGCCTGGACATCTAGGGGTACACAGAGAACCCTGTGTCAAAAAAAATAATAACAGCCAATGTTTGTATTTTTAGTGCAGGTTCAGATGCTACGATTTCCAACACATTACTGTCTTATCATTAATAGCACTGCTATGGAGAAAGTTACAGAGAGGTTAAATTCCGAGTTAGTAAAATCCAGGCAGTATGATCCTAGTGCTTCAATTATTCCTGCTTTTACTGTCTTATCCATGTTAGTTCACAGACAAATGTGTCTACATTCTAAAACCTGACAAAGATACAAAAGTGGCTTCATTTTACTGAAAGCCATCCACCCCACACCCCCACCAATGGCAACTCATAGAAAATGGGAAGAGTTCCTGAGTGGCTCAAAATTTCAGGATAAGTCAGATAGTCAGCTTTTCTAGACTTGATTCTGGAGATTGAGAGAAGAGGCTGAATTCAATTAGGTCTTTAAGGCTCAGACAGGTAGCATACCACGTGTCATTCAAAACTAAGGCAGATAAGATTTGGCTGAGAGACTATTATCATAAAGTGTGTAAAGGAAGATGAACAGAAAGAAAGCAAAAGACAAATCTGAGCCTTGAGAAACACTTTATTTTTTTTTTTCGAGACAGGGTATCTCTGTGTAGCTTTGGAGCCTGTCCTGGAGCTCACTCTGTAGGCCAGGCTGGCCTTGAACTCACAGAGATCCTCTTGCCTCTGTCTCCTGAGTGCTGGGATTAAAGGCATGTGCCACCAATGCCCAGCGAAAGCAAGAGTTGATGTGAAACTGAAGAGGTAGTGGCTCAATAAACACTGGTTGACTGAAGTGACCATTACTGCATATTGTTACAAGAGAGTAAACACACACACACACACACACACACACACACACATACACATGCAAATGAGCCTAGTGATTTTACAAAGAGAAACTAAAACCAAGATGACGTGCTGCCTGAATGCAGCAGAGGTTCTTTTGTGGAAGTGATTTTAAAGGCTGGATATATATGTATATGTATATGTATATGTATATGTATATGTGTATGTGTATGTATATGTATATGTATATGTATATGTATATGTATATGTATATGTATATGTATATGTATATGTATATGTATATGTATATGTATATGTATATGTATATGTATATGTATATGTATATGTATATGTATATGTATATGTATATGTATATGTATATGTATATGTATATGTATATGTATATGTGTATGTGTATGTGTATGTGTATGTGTATGTGTATGTATGTATGTATGTATGTATGTATGTATGTATCTATCTATCTATCTATCTATCTATCTATATCTAGATAACCAGCATTTTCTAAGTTTGGTTTTACTTTCTCTAGAATATATAATGTTCTGAATGTAGCTGTTAGTCTGAGAAGAGAAAATTGTCTAAGCTTTCTAGAATCTATCTATCTATCTATCTATCTATCTATCTATCTATCTATCTATCTATCTATCTATCGATACATATATTCCACACCCCAATACCCACATATCTTCAAACCCACACTCAATACCACACATATTGTGGTAAAACACTCATTATCCAAAGACAGTCGAAACTTCCATGGCTTTTCATTAGTGAATTAACATCTACTTTTCAAAACAAGAAACAAGACATGACTGTTTCAAGTATCACATGGACTTCATAATATAGAGTGAAGTAACCCTTCTAAACCATCACACAAATAAGTGGTATTTTATCTCCATGGCATACCTACACTGCTAACCCAAGTATACCCCCACATTATCTGGTAAGTTTGTTTAATGCCAATACTACTGCCATTAAACATTACTGGACAAAAAATTAAGTTCTTTCTACAGCTCTAAAAGATGCTTTTCTTTTTTAGGACATGCCTTGATTTTTACTACTTAAAAATGCTTCATATTTATTCACTTTCTGATTCTGTGTTTGTGCCTTCAACACGTTCACAATTTTCTGCTCCTCAATAAGGAGACACATTTGAGCCTTTCTCAGACACACTTGGTCTATGTGGAGCCAACAGAAGCCCTGCTGAGGTGCTTCTGTGCTTTAGACAAGTTCACAAGGACTTTGTCTTAACAGCACCAACCCCTTGAGGTCTGCCTGGGCACACATCACATGTGGATCTTGGTGCTTTCTCAACCTTGGTATAAAGGTAAACAATCCTCTAGCTTGGTGAGAACCTGTACAGTGGGAAAGCCTATGATGTATGTCAAAGGTGGGACCACCATGACTGTTTCTGAGAATTGTACCCAGAGATCATAAGATGTTTTTTGGATTCATGAATTCCTATTTGTTTGGGTTTATTTCATTTGATCAGCCATTAATGCATGGTCACAAAAAATACTTCAGTTACTGTTTAGTAAGAGCCAAACTTTGGACTGGAGAGATGGCTTAGCTGTTTTAGGCTAAGGCTCACAACCCAAATCTGAACACCTTTTAATTGCTACAACTGTTTTTCATGCTAAAAATGTGACTGCTTTCAGAGTACCTTCTCAAAGAAGCAACACAGATTTCTCATTAAAATATGATCCAAAGGATTAATATTTGAAATTAGACTTACCTTTGATTCGAGGTAGACATTTGCTGATGACATTTTTGTAATTTTGCATATGTAACTAACTAAAGAGATGGCACAAAGAATAAACAAGCTATCATTAATTAATGCTCGAATAAACACAGTCCATTTCAACTGATTTTCTGGGACATCTCCATGGACTAGCATTGCACAGGTCAAGTTCACTGCTAAGAAGAGGAGGCTTGCCAGTATAAAGCCCAAATGCAGTAGAATTCTGAAAGAAAAAAAGTTTATTTGATATTTATAAAACTGTTGAGGATTAGTGTTATTTCAGGTACAAGAATGCTTTCAGCCTAAAATATTTACAATTTCATTAAATACAAATTTAACAGTCTCTCAGAGTGACTTTATGTCTACCCTCATGAATTTAGTATATGAACTATTTCAAAATGGCACAGATTCTAAAGCCTTACTTTAGAAATAATCTCATGTGTTAAAATAAATGCTGACCTGTTGAATTGAAGAAAATATTGAACCATTTTAACACCATTTTAGGCAATCAGGAAGTTTTCATTTTTATAACTACTGAGTGCATTTGCATCATCCTTCACATTCTAATAATTACCAGGTTTTTAACATTTGTCTAGAAAATTAATATGCTGTGCATAATTAATTTCATCACAGTATTAATTTTTTTCTTTTTCCTTTTTTTGTTTTTTTGAGACAGGGTTTCTCTGTGTAGCCCTGGATGTCTGGAACTCACTCTGTAGACCAGGGTGGTAGACTCTGCCTCTAGAGTGCTAGGATTAAAGGCCAGCCGCAGTATTTTAAGAGCTATGGGAAATGTGTTTTTTTTTTGTTGCTGTTGTTGTTTTCTTTCTTTCTTTTTTTTTTTTTTTGAGACAAGGTTTCTCAGTGTAGCTTTGGAGCCTGTCCTGGCACTTGCTCTGTAGACCAGCAGGCCTCGAACTTAGAGATCTACCTGCCTCTGCCTCCCCAGTGCTGGGATTAAAGGCATGTGTCACCACCACTCAGCAGGAAATGTGTTTTAAACAATGTTTGAGCCTATGGCCTGATTATCTATAGCAAATGTGTTTCAAACATGACCAAAAGAGAAGATAGGAACAGAACATGTAGTTCCCAAGCACTTACCATAAAAACTATTGTAAGTTGTGGCCATCTGTACCAACTAGCAGGTACCAGCTCTCTTGTGAAAATAATCCCAGGTCAAATACATTTCTCCCCCCAAATTATGTATGTATGGTCTAGCAAATTACTTTGCATTCTAGCATCTTCTATTTTGGATTGCCTTCAATAATGGACATCACAAACTGTCTGTCCTTGGAGATAATTTACAGATGATAAATCTGTAATTGGTAAGAAGGCAATCTATAATTGGCAATAAGAAAACTGTTGAGTATACAAGTGAAGCAAAAAAATTAGTTTGAAAAATTTTAGTTACATTACAAAACATTTGACAGTGTCTTTCTATGCAGCTCAAATTGTCTTTCTTCTTTAGTCTCCACAGTATTGGGATTATAGCATGTGCTACCATACTTGGTGGCGTGTTAAACCAAATACTAGAAAGAATGATTATATAGCTTCAAATAAAAAAATGACCTTAAAATTATGCGGAATTAGAATAGTTTAGGAAACCAAAGCATAGAAAAATTAAATGAGTTAGTAGAACTGAGTCTGAAACCCATGTCTCTTGACTAATACTGTTGGCTCTTTTGAGATTAATCAGTACAGAAACTGCTTAGTTCGGGAAACAGTGTATACACTAGCTTTTGTTTATGTGGACTCGGGGAGGAGCAGGAGGAAGAGAGGCTGGAGAGGGGGGAGGGGATAAAATGGAGAAAGAGGGAGGGAGGAAATGAGCATGGGCATCATAGCTGAAGGGAGAAAATGAACTGCCGGACTTACTTCCTTCGAACCAATCTAATGACTTCATTTTCGACAAGACTGCAAAGGCACCCTCAGCCATTCCTTCCTTTTACCTTTATCAGCTGACTGTTAAAAATATTTACTTAGGGGGCCTAGAGAGATGGTTTAGCAGCTAAGAGCATTGGCTGTTCTTCCAGAGGACCTGGGTTTGATTCCTAGCACCCACATGACAGCTCACGACTGTCTGTAACTCATACGTGTGATGAACAGATATTCATGCAGGCAAAACACCAATATACATAAAGTAAATAAGCTGGAATAATCACATATTTTAGATACTAAACATTAATATTAATGAATTAACCCTTTAGATCTTTTAGACAGAATATGATACTCATGAAACTTACTTGTGTTTGTCAAGTTCAGTGGCACATCTGACTTTACATATGACCTATAAAGAGAGTATAAAAAGAGAAAAAACATGTAACACAGAATTTTCCAGTTTATTTTGACTTTGTTCTTCAAGTGATACAGCTATAACGTTCAATGCTTCCAGTTAAATTATTGTGAAACAAAAACAGGCATCCAAATACTAAACTTCTACCTTAAATATCCAACAAAATTATTTTAGTTTAAATATGTATTGAACTTCTGTTATGAAGCAGATACTGTGCTAGAAGGCTTGTCATTTATCCTAAGCCTTTTTTTTTTTTAAAGTGAATTAGTTTAATTTTATGTGCATGGATGTTTTGCCTGCATGTATGTCTGTGTGCCATGTGTGTGCTTGGCAACTTTAGAAACCAGAGAACATCATGACCTGGAGTTACAGACTGTTGTGAGCCAATGGGAGATGTGAGTGCTGGGAATTGAACTCAGGTCCTCTGGAATAGCAGGCAGTGCTCTTAAACCACTGAGCCCTACTCTACACTTTTTATTAGTCATGTTTTTTCTAAAATAGAGCTTGTTATTTAATGTCGATATGGGTTTGATTATATCTTCTCCAAAGATCATTTCCTTACCAGTGAACTTGAACGTTATTCTTTAGATACTGGCAAAAGACTGAAGTTCTTGTTTTTCTTTGGTTCTTTTTTTTCTTTTTCCCTAGACAGGGTATCACTATGTAGTTCCGGCGGTCCTGAAGTCTCTATGTAGACCAGGTGGGCCTTGAACTCACAGAGATCCATCTGCCTCTGCTTCCTGAGTGCTGGGATTAAAGGCATGCACCACTACACCTGATTAGAATTGAAGCTTTTTATAAAGATATTCCAAAGCATGGGATTTTACTAATCTGGTATTAACATACAGGTGTACACAGAGGGAATACAAAACAGAAATGGAAAGACCAGTTATAAGATTACTGAAATATGGTACAAATTTTGGTGGTTTGGAAAGAAAAACAAAATACAAAATGTTATGTGCAAAAAATATTCTAGGAACTCAGGAACTTACTGATTTCACTAAAATATTTTCTGAGCACTTATTACTGTTCCATGTTCTTTGATACCATGGCAGGTGCCTGTAATCCCAGCACTCAGGAGGCAGAGGCAAAGGCCGAATGATGCAGAATTTCAGGTTAGCCTGGGCTACATGGTTAGACTGTCTCAAAACAAAGACAAAGGAAAACAAAACAATGGGGGAAACTCAGATATCTCATGCTCTATGTAAGGTGTCATAGATTCATAAGCATAACTACTATCTATATTTTGAAGGGCCTTGTTGCATAAAAAGAAACCACCTACTTTGACATATTGTACAAAGGCAATGATGCTTTCATAAAACTCATTAAGAGAGAAAGAGAAATGAGTCCAGGAGAGAGTAAGAGGTAAGGGGAGATTATAAACAGTGAGGTAGGGCTTCTCAAAGGAACCAAGTTATGAAAAGTAAATAAATGCTAAGCAGATGAATGTTTAAGTCTAGCCATATCTACTGCATTTGGCTAACATGCCACCATATACCAAAAGTTCAGTGTATGGCATAGTCTAAAATATTATTGCCTCATTATTTTCTAAATTCTCAGATTTGCCCATTTTCTGTCTTCGTTACCACAATGGGTTATTTAAAGAGCCTTTTAACTGATTTCTCTAAGTCCATTGCTAACTCCATCTGTGTCTTTAGAAGACAACTCTCCCCTTTTTTCACCTTTTCTTTTGTGTCTGAGCGATTTAATTTTGAAATTTTGGTAATGCTATATACATACATATATATATATATATCATAAAAATTACAATGTCACCATTAAAAATATCTGCTCCAGTGGCATTAAGTACACTCACACAGCTGTGCAACCATCACCATCAACCTCCACAACCTTTCCATTTTTCCAGTCCATTAAGAAACTCCCCATTCTTCCTCTTTGAGCCTCTCACAACCATTCTATTTCCAGTAACTATAAATTTAGCTCCACTTATATAACTAGACTCATCCAATATTAATCCTGTGTGCCTGACTTATTTCACTTAGCACAAATGCTTTTAAGATTCATGTGTCATTTTCTTTCTTAAGGCCATATATATGTATATACATGCACATATTTATGCATTTACTCATCATTGGAGATGTAGGTAGCATCTACATTTAAATTTATTTAATTTTATTTTATGTACATTGGTGTGATGGTATCAGATTCCCTGGAACTGGAGTACAGGCAGTTGTGAGCTGCCATGTTCGTGCTGGGAATTGAACCCTGGTCATCTGAAAGAGCAGCCAATACTCTGAACCACTGAGCCATCTGTCCAGCTCTACCATCTACATTTTTGTCATTTGTGAATTATGCTGCTTTAAATATCTATGTTCTATGTAAAATTTTAGGACATCATTTAGTAGTAAGTTGTATATTTACCTCTTAAGTACTTCATTTAGCATTTTCTTTAAAAAGTAAATTCACATGTAACCACAACATAATTAAAAATATTGTAAGTTTAAAGATTTATGTGTTTGTTTGCATGCCTGTGTGTGCAGTGTATAGGGCCAAAAGAGGGCATCAGATGCCCTGTAACTAAAGCTACTATGGTTGTGAGGTACCACATGGTCCTGGGTCCTCTGCAAGAGCACCAAGTGTTGTTAACTGGTGAGCTACCTCTCCAGATCTATTAATATAAAATTCAGTGTTGAAACAATAGTATTCCTAAAGTTTTTATTAATTTTTTTGTATATATGTTTTGCCTGTATGCATGTATGAGAACCATGTTCATGCCTGGTGTCTATAGAGATCAGAAGTGGGTACTGAAACTTTTTGAGATAGCATGCCACTATGTATCCCTAACTGGCCAGAACATTCTATACATAGTTGAGGCTGACTGGAAACACAGAGGTCCATCCTCTGTACTAGGATTAGAGGTAGATATAACACTATTATATAATATTCAGACCTTAATATTTTTCAGTTGT